GTTGAGCGATGCGAGGTGTCATTTTGAACCTCAGTGGCAGATGTCGATGTGAACGGGGGCTGTCTCATTTTCCGCCTCTGCGAAGGGGACGTTGGATTTGATCCACTTTTGCATTCTTCTGTAGGACAGGGCGTTTTTCTGAGTTGAAACGAGTTGAACGAGTAAAAGCTCCTGGGTTTCAGTTTTTCATTACCTTAATGAGGACCAGGCTGTTTTCCTTTTGTGTGAAGGGTACTGCGTGAGTGAGTCTACGATTCTGAAGCATTGTAAGTACTTGGTCAGTTAAAAGGCATTATCGCCTAATTTTAAAATTGCAACTCTTATGTTGGGTTGTAGTGATCTGGCGAACGTCCCACCTGGGCTGACTAAATGTGTGCAGAATGGGGTTTGTGGAGCTTAGCCTTCATAATTTTAGCTACAAAGGCATGCTAAGATGGTGATGTGTTTCCGAAGGACTGGGATGTGTAACACAACATCTGGCAAGTAGAGTAAAGAGGTTTGCGGCACCGATTCGGATGACTCATGTGCACAAATGCATGAATATTATCCCCATCGACTTCCTCAATGCGATGCACATCGCATGGGTGCGAATACCCAACCATGGTTACCACCACTGTGTCAGATCTCTGCAGTTTCCAATCACGAAATTGGATACACATCTCACGCGTGTGGCGTATGCATTTCCTCTTCGCCAACATTTTCCCCATCGAAATCTCCAATGACATGCATGTACAATTGGAATCCTCACGTACTCCTCAAGCACGAGATGGGCATTTGCGGGGACTACTACAGGCATAGTCACCTCATCAATTTTAGGTGATTAAGTTTTAACGTTTTTGTATTTGCATGGGCTAAACTAATTTCCAAATCGTCCTCTCCAATGAGGTGTGTACTTTTGCCATTGTAAGTCGAGGCGTCTTATTTCTCACTGCCCTGCCGCCATCAATCTTCATCCATTGGCGTCCCAAATAAGTACCCTTTCGAGCACACGCACGAAGTACAATGCATCTGGATAAAATCTCCTTCCTTATAGCATCCAGTCCCACCACTCTTCACAGCTTATGGAAGTTCTTCCCGACCTATTCATCGGAGTGCTATTATTGTGTGCATGCATGCATAAAAGTGCTCCTTGCGCACCGTCTCTGACCACAATAGAAGGGATAGTACATGTGTGCAATGCCTATGCTTAGGAAAGTGGAGAAAGAATGGAAGGTATCGGCATTCATTATTTCGTGAGGCCTGTAATCACAAATTCGCTCCTCATCAAAGGGGTAGAGGTGAGGGCATACGGCAAGAATACCTGAGAAATACGACTAAAATCCAACAGCCAAAGGAGCAATAGCAATCCTCATTGACGTTTCGGCATGAAGGCACAATTACACGAACGCAGGAACGTTAACAAGCCTTTAATCACTTTCGGATTGAATGAAGTTTCTCACAAGCATGCACCACGTTGGTTTTTTGTGCAATGAAGGAACGTCCTGACAGGTGCGTGAATAGGCCAGTGTACAATTCATGCTCATTTGTCCATTATCAAGCTTGTGATGACTTTTTCATCTAGCGCTACCATCGTGAGGGCTTGCCAGAGAGTGCTGCATCCTCTTGAGGACGCATGCACGAATGTGGATGCCGTACCGGTGTGTGTGTGTGTGTGTGTTTGTGCTTGCGTGTGCGCGCATGAATGCGCTGACAGTAGACCGCGTCCTTATCAATACATGATTTGACATAAACACGTACACAAGTATGCTTTTTGAGGCTCTACTGTACAGCATGAGCTTCTGTTCAAACGAAGATATTTGCGTTAGGCTCAATGTGTCACCTTTAGCACGGTGAAAATGTCTCTTGGACACAATTCCTCATCAGACTCTGCGAGCAAAATTCGATCCCTTGTGATCATGCATACACAGACAACAGTTTTGTTGACTGTCTCACAGAATATCCTCCTTTGCACGCATACGATAGCCTCCAAAAATGACAATTTTCTCACGAAATACTTCCACAAAGTTAGTCTTGTCGACCTTTTAGGCACACATACAGAAACTGCGTAGAGACGCCGTCTGGCATGCGGCAGCTCCCCGTGAGTCTCTCAGACCGGCTGTTCAACCCTTCAAGCAAATATTCACAAGCACACCCGTCATCAACTCCTCTCGTCCTCACTAGCTCAGGTGTCCCGAGCAGGCGCCTGCAACTCGCCTCCTTTAAGCGATCTGTCCATCATCATGCATGCGTACAAGATACCGCATAGTAGTCATGACAATCTTTATGGAGTCAATTGAAATAGTCCGTTTGCAGTGGGAAGCAAGTATTTACGCAAAACTGCACCGCATTCACCACCTTTCAACACAGATTCAGAGCTTGTGCATTGTATATCTTCTCATTTAACGCATATGCGTTCTTGTGCTCTTCAGCCACATCTCTTAACAAGGATTACTCCTTCACTGGAACACTTGGACTCCTCATCGTTTCCTCCCTCAGGCAAACGTTTGTTCATTTTCAATCACTCGCATTAAAGAATTTGGGCTAATTGCGAGCTGTGTGGTTTCATTACGCATTGTTCATAAAAAGTGGGCTCCTTTTACCAGCAATCGTTGGTGCGAGGATGTGCACTCCACCAATTGTATCCTCTCCACCACACTTCTCCATATACACACAACCTCCTTGTCGACGCCTCCAAACACTTACCCATGCGTCCATACATGTGCTTCGCGCCAACTTCTGCCTTCAAAATTGTGCTAATATGCGATTTCTGCGTCCAGACATCACCGTTATCTTTATTCATAGCACACCCACATAAACTTCAATTCCGAACAATCTTCTCCACATAAATTATGCATCCTTATTGCACATACGTAAGTGCACACTTTAGTTCTATTAAAAAAGAAACGTGGTAGTCTTCACTAGTGATTGCGATTTTATGGCAGATCACCATGAGCGAAGCCATCCATGGACCCATTGAGGAGGCATAAGCAAGCGGACGAATGCAGACTTGATAGAAATATGCAAGGACAACTGGGAGGAGATTTGAAACGTGCAGAAACTGGGAAGAAACATGACTGAACACAGACGAGTTTGCAAGATTCGAAGTAGCGTCTCTGGAGGTTGTGTCGATAATAAGAGAGGTGCTACCGTCTGGGAGGAAGTGATGCTTTTTGATGGCAGTCTAAGTTTCCCTGGAACAGTAGTCACTGCAGAAAAGTGCGGGCAGATGCAATCCCTCCTAAGCAGGTATTTGAAAATATTGTTCACCGTTTCAGTCATCCCCGAAAGGGAGGGAAAAGAGTAAGTCAGATGAGGCTGATCTCACAATCACTCGGCAAGGCGAATGGTATGCATGATTGGGAAAAACGCAAGAAGGCGGGCACATTTCGCTCGTTCGACTGCGGTAAAAGGTGTAAATGTTCATTTATTCACACAATCTACCGTTTCCCTGCCTAATCCTTCATCAAAGTAGTTCAACTACTAGTGCCCACCTCACCCGTTTTCATCGTTGAAGCGGTTGCATATAAAATAGTTTCCAAGTCACGAATGAAGGACACCAAGTTTTTTCGTACCCTCAGGTGGCCTCTCATGCTACCAATCAATTGGGTCAGTGAATTCGTATTCACCTCTCGCTACTTCTTGTGCAGTTGTGACTAGTGCCTCTGTCTTGACGATCTCTGAATGCATGCCTGAAGAAGCGAACCTCGTCTACCTCATCTCCTCACTCTCTCTCTCTTGAGAGACATTTCAATCATCGACACATCGTCCTCGCGATCGATGCTACATCAATGGTGTGGCAGTCACTTGACACCTCTATTTGCCTTGTCTAGCTCCCCATTTCCTCCATTCATCTGTCGACGCTGAAAAGTGGAAGCTTGTGGTCAAACAAGTTCCACCAACAATGTCTTCTCCATGTCATCGCGTTGACACACCAATGTCTGCCACCACATTCGCCTTCCCAACATCACCAGTATGTTCTACAGGCTGTTCCCAAATCATATCCACGAATGTCACTCTGTGCGTCCCCAAAATCGCTGATTACACCACAAGTGTAAAATAGCAAATGAAGTGGGCATCTGATTGCACGCGAGGAGAGTCAAGCATATGACAAGGAGGGTGACCTCGAAAAAACCGAGCAATTGTGACACCACCTTCCATACACGCAATTTATATGAGGCGTCTGAGCTTCCTTACTCTGTTGACACATTTTGATGAACAGCAGTAATGAAGGCAGACAGGTACGTGCTCAGCGATGCCTCGGACGTAATATGTTCGTTTGAAAAAAAGCGGCGCAAAGCTCCATGCGTAAGCCTCTTCCTCAACACCGCAAGCGCAATCACACACATGGCACCGACGCAACACCTGTAACTGATACTCCACGTTTCGAGGCAGCTGTGACTCCAGCGAAGGAAGTCTGAAATTGTACAAGATTTTACCAAATAACAGACTTGAGAGCGTATCCTTTAACAAACATTTGAGCAACAATCTCTGTGCTATCATCGTATGCAGGCAAAAACTTCGATCTCTTACCTCATCAAGGCAATACACTTTCCACTATCAATTTGGGAACACTCAGAGACCACGGCTTAGTACGTCTATGATCCTCCTCCGATCGGCTTACTGCAAGATGACTATTCATTCGCGTTTGTCAAGCTCTGGAATCTCATGGCCTGCACCCACACACAATTACTAACACATTTGGCTATGGTGGCAACCTGATTCGGAAAAGCAACAGATTCGAGTAACTAACTTTTGCACGGCACCGCTTATGCCAGCTCAAAGTAAAGTAGAATAAAGTACTCCACTTTCCTCCCTCAAAAGTCCACTTTATCAAACGCTATCGCCTTTTCAACTGGGCTTATAACCAAGGCCACACTGTCTAGAGCTGAGCTTTTAGTATACGCGAATTAGCACCAGCAGTGTTCGATTTGGTGGTGATCTAATGATGCCTATTGCATATGAAAACTGTTGCTGCCTTGATTACTGATATGCTACCAGGGGATCAGCAGTCTCATCATAAATCAAAAAGTTTATCAATCCGCTCTCAACAGTGCAAACACATATTTATAATGCGACTAATATCTTGCGTCCAAGATCGAGTAGGACGGTTCGCATGCCGTTTGACTTCACATATTTTTGAAGACTGTGCTGTTTAAGTATCTAATGTGCGTGATAAGGTCAAGGTGGTAAAAGTGTTTTACAGCAAACTACTTACATGTGTTCATAATTCCGTAGAAGTACTACGGACGCAAGGTGGAAGAGACTCTTGGGACCATTTCGTTGCCTACTTGGATAACGTGAAATTGCCCATGGATTGCCTGAAAGACTCAGATGTCCTACCTCCCATAACTGGGCAGCAGCGTGGGGTAGGCAACGCAGCCTATTATTTTTTAGCTCAATGTTTACAAGATTCTTTGCCCTGTGCATGTTGGCTGGTGGAAGAGCTCTCAGGTGATTGTCTACGTCAGACAAAGTAAATGGTTGATCGAAAGTCCAGCGTTACTGGCATGTCTGCCAGTCTATAGGCATTGACTTATAGTACGTAAGTCTGCTCACCTGTTATAGCAAGATTCTCCAAATTGCTAAGGTTCCAGAAGTCCTCTGGAAGTCGAGTGAGAATGTTTTCTGAAAGGTCCAAACGACGAAGACTGCCGGCAAGAGCAGAATCCTTGGACACACTTGGCCATGATGACAATCGATTCGACTTCAGAGAGAGATTATTCAAAGCCAAACACTCCAGAGCCTTAGGAACCGTTGCAATCCGATTATTTGCCAAGTTTAAGACAGACAACTTTGACAACTGCAGAATGCGTTGGTCAAATGACCGAAGGCCAACATTGCACGTAAAGAGATTCTCAAGGTAAAATGGAAATGTTTTAAAACGAAAATAATCTCCCAGGCTTGATATTACAAGTGTGGCATCGTCGGATTTCTACGAATTTAGTATGTAGATGGATGCTGTGACATACTTTGGGGGATCCACTATCCATAAGCGTCAAGGCTTTGACGTCAAACTTTTGTCCCTTCTGCATAGCACAAAGGAACTGACACAGGTTGCGAGCCAATCGCGGATTAACCTAATACTCTGTGTGCTTCGGACGTGTTATTGTTCTACCTTAGAAAAAGCAACCTCTTGAGCAGGATCATCCAGTCTGATGGTGAATTTACCTTCGCTTGCAGACCTATCGTTAATATTTGTAACGTTACCTTTAAGCTAACCACAGTAACAATGGAAAGTCGCTCACTTTGAACTTTAACTTCCATTTACTCCACACGTGTGACAGAGTCATTGATGGGGGAGAGGCGTGAATTACAACGTTAGTCACCTTGTACCGATTGCCCTTTACATCCGATGCATTCAACGGATGGCATAACGTTTCGCAACAGAACTTCATGACGAGACTTTGCAGCACTTGTGCACTGCGTCCTATTAGCCCTCATTTGACCACTCATCTACTTGCAGGAGAAAAACCATTTAAACAAATGCCACACCTACCTTACAACTTGCATTGCGATGAGCGTATGCCTTTGTTCATAACTTCCACTTCTCTAATGTGACACCTTGACTGCTTGTTTTACCTTTTGTCTACATAATTGATACGTCAGAACCGCGTTGATGTGCCTACAGGCGAGAGAATGACCCTGACATTGGATCAACGAATAGAAAGATCTTCTTTTCAAGAATGACTTGAAGTACGCCTAGCTAAATTGCTGCTTGCATTTCGACAGGTTTGCTACCTCCGTGCAAGGGCTTGGCAAAACTCACATACATGTAAAAACCGATTACAATGGATAAGTAAATGTCACTGTTATTAAACACGAATGAAAATGGACGAGCGAATAAGCTTGGGATAAGGCGTAGGTGAGGACGTGAAGACGCTTCGTTGTGCACTCCCTAACTAGAGAATGCTTGATGCACTAAAGTACCGGAAACAAGTGGGTGCTGACGAATTCGAGAATTTATACAAAGGAATAGAAGAGTCGACCCCTCTATCAACAGTTGTACTGTAGCACCATAGCAATGCGTCTTTTAAGCGATCACAACTGTTTAGTTTTAATTACTAGCTAGACTTGCCTTTGCAGCAGGCGTGACACTTTTAGGCAACGTGTGCACTGAAGGCATTCCGATATTTTTAATGGGCACGTGCAAAACACGTTTACGCTAACATGTCAAAGCTAACGCGTCTTTGTCGGGGCTTTTGTTTCCAACACTGCCGAGAGTGGAAGGCTCTATGTGTGTGTGTTGATTGCGATTCCTTCTCGTTAAGCGGAAATGGTTCGTTTGTTTGCATCTATTTTCATTTGGATGCTTAATGGTAAAGTTGGGGAGCCTTTTGAACAATAGGGAAAACGTATTGTTTACGACAATGTGTTAAAGGGCAATGAGGCGCTGGAGGCAGGCTCTTATTCCGTTTGCAAGGCATGCCATTTGCGAGGATAAAGTTGGCATTTTTTTGGAGGGAAATATTTTTGACCAGTCCATATGTTTCTACAAGGGTAAGTTATTCCTCAACACTACAGAATACTAACGAGCATCCCTCAAAATGCAACATGAAGTCATGGGGCATTGAAGCATCAAATTGGATAGGCAAGTGCAGCTTACAGCACCCTAACTTTTTTTGAAAGGAAATTCACCTTTAAAGATGAAAATTGTCGAGATCGCCAAGTCCGCCCAACTCAAATCACTAACCTTGAGTTGGATGTGGCTTCGCTCTCGCAAAAGTAATCCTGCCCCACTCGAACTACATTGGCAACACATGATGAACATAACGCCGCGCTTTGGTGATTTATCTAACATTTTGAGGGAAGGATTAGCCAGCTATAACAAAAACAGTTTGTGCTCTCGCATGAAAGGGAAGCAAAAGCTGTAAATGTCTGCCTTAAGGAGGCATTTTCCAAAGACATTGCTGGTCCAAATTTTGGCCTAACTCGCTGATAATAACAATAAAGCAGAGAGCCTCATCGTTTTCTACTTTACCACAGTGTTTGTCGATGAATGGCATCAGGTCGAATCGTAAGTATGAGATTTTATGCAGAATTGCGAGAGGTTTCAGTGCATTTGGATGGCATAGATTGAAGACCCTTGTATATGAGAAGTGATGTGCGATTTTCCTTTTATTGACAATGTTAGGTCGCCAATAGGACTGCGCTTAAGTGCGGCACTTCATTGATGTGTGCCCAGCGCAGCAACAGTTATAAACTTCTCATTAGGCGCGAGGACCCTTCTTATTCTAACCACAACAGAATGCAAGCCTCTCACTAACTGATATACGCAATTTGGTGAAGAGAGCAGCTAAGGTACAGTGATTTTAACCACTTATAGCTTATGATTTAGGGTATGGACGTAGAAATTTTCCTCCACATGACCTAATGGTAAGTCCATTCCTCTCTGATATGTTGCGTCATGGTTTGGTGAGTTGGATAGACTGTTTGGATTGAGAATTAGGCGGAAGCAAAACCTTAGTTCGACTTCCTTTCGAGTGTTGTTCAGTGTGTAGACTAACGGATGTGCGGTTTCTTGGTGCGAACTAAATAATTGTGTGTTAAATATGCTAATGATGCAGACAGTTGATTCCCTTATGGCGTTACTTTTGTACCTTCCGCTATCGGCGATTTCTGTTGACCAATAAGAGATGCCGTCAGCTTCCACCACTGGTGTTTCCCAAATGTACCTATTCAAGGCCTGCATACTAATGAATCGTTCCCTTTTTTCCTAGCAAATCTTAGCGGCGAAACGCTTACGATTTATAACAAAAGTAGAACTCCTCTCTCACCCAATCCTTCTGCATATCCTTGCAATCGTACCGAGTGAAGGAGATGTGGAAGACACATGCGGCGTTGAGTAGTGTCTTCGTCATGCTCTTTTAGCACAGTCCCTCTCTGTGACTGGTCTTTCTCGTCTCGTCCTCTTCCACACATTCCCAGAATCGATTTCAACCTCTTCATAGAATTTACTACCACATACTAACCCTTCTTCTCTGGTCAACCTCAAAGACATGCGACGCTGATCTCATATTAACACCGCAGATCTTAACCTACTTCAATCCCTGCTCTATTTACTACCTATTGATGCAACTGTTTGATCTTTTTGTTGCGTGAACAGCACTTTAAGTTAGTTGCTCCCCTTCTTATGTTGCTCTATGCCGCTCTCACTGCATGCCTTATCCGCTTCAGCGATAGCGGTGCCTTAAAAGATGGTTTAATAGGCACCGTGGAAGACCTTCGCTCCTTCAAACACTTGCTAATGCGAATGTGCTAAGTCAAATGGATTGGCTTATGCACTTTCCTAACAGCTTCTCGGATTTCAACAACTCTCGAAGTGGCGACGCAAGAACTGCAAACACCAGCTTCAAAGCTGCATCAACTGTTGCGCTCAACGAGGATCGGATTGTCACGACGTGGTCTTCCAAATGCTGAGATGGTCCAGATGGCCATTCTGTACGGAGCGAGTGTCAGATAAGTCCTACACACACATAAATCTTTTTAGGCCATTAATCTGCTCTAATATTTTGTGCTACTGAAGTGTTTATAAATAGAATGCCATAGGTAAGTTTGTTGTCGAAGATATCCTGCACGTTTAACTTATGACCTGGAAGAAGGGAAAACCTCTACACGCCATTCATTGTCTTGAGGTTCACTCACTAGTCAATAGTACAAAATGTAGTGCATTTAAAAATTTTTTTTTGGTATTTAAACCATTTTGCAGGGAGCACTCCGAATGTTTGCTTAAAACTAGAAAGTTGTAAAGCTCAACTAGAACCTAGCTAGGGTTTAGCGAGACAGTGGTGACTGCCCTGCAAAGTTGAAATTGCGTGATCCGCACAACAAAGGATAGTGGCAGTGACAAATGGGGAAGGCGACCATAAACACCGACATGGAAGGAAGTCTTTGTGAAGCAAAACCTCAATGCTGAACAGATTTCGATCTTAAATCCTGAGTGGTACTGCAACACTAATTTGTAGCCTGACACCATCAAACAATTCCTTCACCACCCGAAGTCAACTCTCAGGCATCAGTAAGGAGAGGATGAGGTAAAAGTAGTGTCTACTCCTCTTCCATATACAGGAACTCCTCCTCCTCCTCCCCCTCCTCCTCCTCCTCCTCCTCCTCTGCTTAGCCATGAGAGGAGGTCAGCTCTACTGTAAATGAATTTGACAATGAACTGACCGGACTGCGTTGGGGGTGATGTTAATTCTTGTTAACATTTTCGTTCATCCTACCTCTTATGCATCATATCTCCTTTGCTTCTTAGAATTTTCTTCGGTTTATGCCTCTTTGCTTTTCTCATTAACACCTCCATATAGCTTAATTAGCATTACAAATAATGCAGCGGTACATCACCACTGCCACTGCTGCTGTTGTCTGTCATGGTCGCTGGTTCTGAGAGAAGAGTTTAAATGCTTTTTGCATTCTTCGGGTCTAGGAGGCGTAGTTCAAAAGAGGAAGTCAGAAATCTCAGCATGCATCTTGAATTCCTCTTGAACGTTTGTAGGAATGACATTAAAAATTTGAACCCATTGCTATCGTACAGATCTTGGAGTTTCTTTTGAGCGCACTAAAGTGGTTGATCTTAAAAAGTGCCGTCAATATTCCCCATTCAAGGTTTAAACGGACGCATTTGCCATGGCGATGGAATGCTCAACAAATGTTGCAGAAATCATGAAGCTCATAGCTAGGGCTCATCAAAATTAACCAAAAAGTAGTCTTTTAAAAAGTAAATCGTTGAAGGAGTAAAGAGTCGGTAGATAACGTAATCGAGGACTTACAGTTTGAAGTCTTTTGCCTACAGGTGAACCAAATCCCAGTGTGTGAACATTACGAATGGAACTGTCAAAGAAGGAGCGCAAGGCGTTCATTTTTTTCTCGAAGACCACTTGTCCACTTGCTGATGTACTCGATGTAGGATTAATTCACTTTCCTGTTTTCCCTCCCAAAGCACTTGCTGTCAATTCAAAGGGTGCATAAAAAGCAGCAGCAAAGGGCTGTGCTACGAAGCATGTTAGAAGCTGCTAAAATTTCCTCCAATAGTCATCTTTTAGTTGCTACACTCCCGCTTTTAATTTTGCAATGGCATTAGACAACAGCAATGGATCCGTGAGATTGACATCTTTGCATGAATAGAAGCAGTGTCGTTGTTTTATGCTTTATGCTAGGAGTTGTTACAGCGTTGCTATGGATTTGTAGCAACCCTAGTTGAGCTTTGTTTGGACTGCATTGGCTTGGCTTTGTCAGCACTGAAGCAGTTACATTGCGGTGTGTCTATTTAAAAGGGCTGCAAACTACTAGCGCATTGGACAATAGTTGGATGCCATTGACTTCAGCACTAAAATGACGTGTTGCACAATCATTTTGATGCAGTGCAGCACATATTTGCCCTAAAGTTAGGTGGCTAACTTCAACTTGGCAATGTTTCCTATCATCACAATCATCAACTACCACTGTGATGTTATTTGTTGAAGCGATCACCATGTGCGTTGTTGCCATCGGTAGTCCACATTTGCTATTTGCCCCTTTAACAGCCAATAATAAGCCAAAGATGATGGAGTGAAGTACGCCTTTTGGAAGGCATGGAAAGACACATTTGACTTGATGCCGTAGCTCGTTTTGAGAGATGTGCGGCTTTTCTTTATTTTTACAATTACCTCTCGTAAGTGCTTGCAAGCTAGAGGTAGTCGAATTACCTATCGAATCATACGTCTGTTAGGTGTGTAAGTAAATATATGCTTTAAAGTTACGGTGCGAAAGCTGGATTAACAAAGCCTCAACCAGTAGCCGCCCTAGATAACCCCTTTTGGTTAGTAAGCACGTAAACTGACTTTTCGTTCTGCCTTTGCAATGTGGGTGTTAACGTTTCAGCGCCTTAACAGCACCGTGGCATGAATGCTCTGGATGCCTGAAACCCCAGGAAAACGTCTACGTTAAACGATGCATGGGTTTTTATCTCAAATTCAATTGTTGTTTACATTTTCAGTAAAGTCTTTCGCTAAAGCTAGGGTAAATCTTGTGAGTGAACAGATTTTAGGGACAAAAGTATCTACTTCCATATATTGCGTGACTAAGACGTCCCGGTGACCCAATTTCAGTCCTTGCCTCTCGGTTCGCCACCCATCTGCGGCCTTCTCCCCCTCTCGTTGCGCCGCCCCGACGTCCACATGTACCCCAGCCTCAATAAGCCAATGCGTTCATCAGATCTGGAGCCGATCTGTCTCCAACATGGTTGGGGTGATGGCAGAATTAAGGTCAAGTGGACATAGAAACTGCGGTTTAAAAAAGCTCTCGGCTCAGTCGACAGAAGATGGTGATTCAAAGTGGGTGAAATTTAGTAACTTTAATGCGTCATAATCGGTGAAGACAATTAAAATTTGAAATACATTCAAGCTCCAGGTAGTGTTGCGACTTGCTCTTGGCTTGACAGTTACCACCAACAGTCTTTGAGAGAAGACAAGGGACAAGAGTCAACCATTGGGTTAAAATTTGTTTGAAATTCAATGGATGCTAATATTTTCATGATGTATTCTGCGTGCCCGACTAAACACCTAGCCGTAAGGGAGGGTTTCTTTCCAAAAGCACAGACATGAAACACCTTGACTGCATCGGAGAGTTGAGGAAACCAATCGATTATTACAAAATTTTGAAGGTTTCATAAGGCGATTCTCAGTTTATGGGTAAAATAGTAATGAAAGGAGTCTCAGAATGATGATCGCAAATCTTCTGACTATAGCGCCAATACTGGGAAGTTAAATGAAAGCAACTCTTCGAGGGTTTGCGAGTTGAGGAGGCTAAAGCTGGTCAGGACAGTTAGAACAGCACTTTTGGTGGAGGTTTTACAATAGGGCTGTAGTCAGTGAACATTGTACATTCAACCCTCAGTATGGTTAAATATGTCGCTGTTGGACTGTTTTATTCATCTCCGAGGCATGAGAATCAGGCCCCAATACTGCATCAAAACTCATGGAGACAAACGAAGTCGTAATAAATGTGGCAGAGTTCCGATGCATGGCTAGAGGAGATAGACTCTTTTAATTGCTGGACTTTTAAAGCACTTCTATTTGCTTCTTACTTAGCTGCCACTTTTTACACTGAAAACGTGTGGTCAGGATGAGGCTACGACCAAGCCGATGACGGACGATTTTAGTCGGGTGCCCTCAGTTCATCGATCTCGAAGCTGATCTTACAGTCCAAGATTCGAAATAAAAAAAAACCAGTCCCCGTAAGTGAGCTGACGTTTCTCCTTTTCATTGTTTCAAATTCAATTGCTTTAACGAATGCAACAGAAGCTTACGGGGTGCCTCATTGTAAGACTTTTTCCTTGCAAATACTGCTATCCACTAGTAATGATGCCAACTAGACCTCCTGCGCTTGACACTGACGCTTATAAAGCACTTTCACAAGTTTATTTGTCTACGAAATCACTTGGTTTCCTACTCACCTATGACTTTAAGCTTAATAATGCTGTCGTAGGAACGTTTGTCCACCTTCAACAAATAGTATTCCCATCAAACTGTTTGCAAAAAACACTGACAGAGATTTAATTTGTGGAACAAGTAGGGAGCAATAAGACAAGTTGATTTTGAGGACCACGCAGAACAAAATTCTTTATTAGCGGAGCTAAAATGGAATTATGAGATGTCACCTCTTTTGCTTGGTGGGCCACGTTAAGGGAGGAAGGGACTGAAGAAACCGAACTCAGCGACAAACACTTCTAAATCGCCAGTTCATTTGATAAGCCAATGGACTTGGACATGCCGCTGGAATGCAGTGTAGTGTCAACAACCCGTCTTTCTTGAGCTTAAGTTTAGACCTCTTCATTCCTTCAAAAGTAGCCAAACGCTTCTTGGAAAGGGAAATAGGTCAAAAAAGATCCGATAATCGTTTGAAACCTGCGGGGTAGTCCACCGCCCTAACACAAAGCAGTCCGCTAACAATAGATGCCACTTCCTTGGGTTTAGCTGCGCGCTTAAATACTATCGCCATGCTATAGTATGATGGGTTTGGGAGGCTAAAAATCCGCATTCTGCACTTCGCTTAGCAAAAGCTGGGAGCTATAGGCTTCGTAGTTAATGAAGTACATGCAGTTAAGCACTGGATCATCTTGGATTAGTGATATTAGTCTGAACACTGTCTGCAAAAAAATGCGTTGAAACTATCGCTTGACTACTTCACTTTTAATTCGATGGCATAAAAGGGGCTCAAACCAAGATCTAAACAAATGTAAATTGATCGCGACTAACATCACAACTGGCTGCGCCAATTCATTGTTCTCAATTTCCTCTGTCATTAGGGAGCTATCTCATCCACAACCTGGAAAGTTTATATCTTCCCGAAAAAGTTCTAACTCCCTTGAACTCAGCTTAGATGGTAATATTTGCTCTTGTTTCCTCAGAAATGGTCGATCAGTGTCGTGCTGACCACATGGTGAGTGGTCTGTTGTCCGATGGTGTGGGTGACTATGAAGGCTCCTGTGGGTGGCTGTACCGATGCCATTGCTCCAGAAGAAGCTGATCATGTACAAGGGGCTTCGGAACCGAAAGTCTCATTATTGACTTGGTTGTGAATGGAGAAAGGGGAATCATGCAGACCCACACTACTCAGTCTTCCAACCAGACTGCACGAAGTGAACCAATGCGGCAGCTTTATGGTGAGGTCAGCTAACCCCCCACGGACACAAACCATTTAAACATCCACATCTTTATCGTGATGTTATTGTCCATCACCAAACTCATGGGGGTAGGTTTTAGAACACCTTTTACTCACCCTCCATCCCTTATTACTCAACTTTTATTTTTTCCATTTGTCCATTCCCCTGATCTTTGGTTGTCAACCTTGCATACTTTGTTGATGTATTAGACGCCACTGGAAGTTACCTTTGTTCGACCCGACTTGGCACTAAGAATATGCCAATTCCTTGATGCTCCCGATTTAATAAATGCCTGCAGTGCCATTCAGCCTTGGAGGTGGATACTCACAACTCGGCAGTCCTATGATATAATGGTTAAGTACATCAGTCAAAAGAAGTGGCTTGACAAGCAGCTTAGTTATTTGCTTTTCTCAAAATGCGCAAAATCAGCTTGGAAAAGTGCTGCTCTGGCTGTTCTATACTACCATGAGAATAAAAAACCAATCTATGAATGGCTACATTCTCCCGATGACGTCTATACCTTCACCAGCACGCGTTGCTGCCTCGTACCTCACTTAGACACGCTGCGGAATAATGGTGATGTTGGCAGGCTAAAACGATTCCGAGCAATTTATTTTACGGTTCTCGAAGACTACTCACTCAGGGATACTTCGCTTGCCATTGATTTCATCGAAACACAAGATTTAAACTTTACTACTCTTGCTACTGGAATGGATGGAAGAATACGCTACACAACAATTCCAACACATTTGTTCTGTAACAGCCTCCGGAGGTACCACTATTTTATATACGTGACGGAACTCGGTGCCACTTTCAACGATGATCTTATTGACCTCTTGGGCTGTATTTTACCGCATCAAGTATTAATCATAGCAGTCTTGCTAGACAGGCTTGGCAGCACCTTTGATGAAATGAACGCTCTTTCAAAACTTGCTGAAAGTTTTGGACGCTATGACGAATCTCCGCTGAGCACCACGTCTGTAAATTGGCGAATTTTGCTGGTTAGGTGCATCTCTTATGTATACCTCAATGTGGATGAGCTGTTACAATTAGCCGATTGTGACACTGAAAGTTCGGATTTTTCGGATGACTACAGTTCTGACGAAATAATCCTACGAGCATCCGACTAGCCTCCCACGTCAGGAACCTTGTCGTCTGCTTTCCATCCACCGTCTGCAATAACATGGCTCATTGTGATCATGACAGTGTCATTGTTTTCTGTCCCTTCCTCCAAATTTTGTGATGTATTTTAATGCATTGATGTATTTTTCAAGCACTCTTCTTTTGCAAGGTGGATAATTTTTGTGTTCTTGTGTAAAAACCACGTTCCTCTGTAATTCGCCTAAGCGTACACAAGAAACTCAACTTGGATTGATTTTTGTGAGGTTTCAAAAAATACACATAGCTCCCTTGATGTTGCATGATTACGAACAGATGCGGGTTTGAGGGTTTTTTATGGGATTTGTTGAAAAGTTTACGTTGGAAACAAATAATGCATGACGAATCGGGGTGAGCTTTTGCTCCAAAAAGGCTGAAGTTACCTTTTGAAGGAAAGAACTATGCGATAATTTATTTTCGTTGCCTTTATCAACGCTCCTTTTAGTAAATGTATAAATAAACTTTTATTTTATGGTGAAACAAGGGACGCAAACGCTGTAACCTGATCGCGGTGCTACGATTACTCCACGCCTCCAAAGCATTTGGCACTTAGAAGGCAGTGATTAGGGTGAGTACACCAAAATTCCTCAACGCTTTACACTCTGCATTTTTATGCTCAAAGTATCGCCATAATCAGCTAAACGGGAATAAATGTAATTGTTAACGTCATAAAGTTACATTAGGTCCTATTTGTAGTAATGCTTACGAGGGAACATTAGTAAACATCCGGTTCATCGAATCGCTCTGCGAATAGATCGTATGGCGTCTCCTCTAACTATTGGCGACTTTTGCTTACTTTAATTACCATACGCAAATGGGTCTTGTGTTTAGAGGCTAAACGTTTCGGATCGCGAAGTTGTCTTAACGTGGACGTGGTTGCCACTGCCACCAAAGTTGTGGTTTGAGGTTCTTTAAGTGGTCACAACCGATGCCAGCAGTCAAACAAATGAAGTAGTTTAGTTGAAAAATCCATCGGTTGACACAGAAGGGAAGTCGAGGCCGGTAAAAGATGGTGAGAGTGATCGAAAGGGTTGAATGAAAGAGAAGAGTGCGTTGGAAAACGAATGATTACGTTGTGTAGAGCAAGGATGGGAGTTTTATATTCTACAACGCAACTCCACTCATGTCTTTCCTCTGGCCATTGTTCAAGCAGTTCAGATGGGGAAAGTCACCTACTCATGATGTTAAGTCAATTGTTTAACGGAGCACAGGCGAGTACGTGAGGAGATGCGTCTTCACTACGGGACAGGCGCACGTCGTGGGGATGGTTGGGTGAGGTCAATGGAACTCCGCTATTCCGAAGCTGACAATCGGGAAAGTTGCGTTGGAGACGAAATTGCGTGAGTCCATTAAACTCCAATAACTATACACGCTTTGCATTGTTGGTACATGCATGGAAACAATACGGTGGACTTGAGTGAGATGGAATGCAATCCTTTGTCAGTTGGATTGTACTATTTTTTCCCCTGTAAGAGGGCATCACGGTTTACGATTGATGAGACTGCTTAAACAAAAGTTACTTGTCCACGGCAAAATAAGTGAGACAACCACCTATGCATCGTTTAATCAACTCAAGCTTAAATTGAGGTGGTCTTCTGCGTTCGTTACATTTACGGCTTAATTGTTTATGCATAAAAGCATTTGTAAGGTTAAACGTCATTAAGTTAAGTTGAAGCGAGTTGTATCAGAACAAGTGGACTGGCCACATTTCCTTACGTTCAAGTAAATGTTCAAATGTCGCCTTGATCTAAACGGGGTTCCAGCGTTCCACATAATCCACTCACTTCCTTTGACAGTTCATTCTAATCGCTGTATTCGCAGCAGAAATGATAACCACGATTGTCTGAGAAAAAGGATTTTGTGAAATTCTGAATTACGAGAGGCTAATATTAACGGTCTTGCTGAGACCTGTTGCCCATAGCATCTTGCTTTGACTTCCTCAGTGATATTTGGGGATTCTTTTCTTTCCATTAGCTACAAGGATTCAATCCACGTAGGACAACAGAAGACCACACCAGCTGTCACAAAGGCTATGCTTTTGACCACGCACTAGTTAATCTTATTCGTTAAATTCCTTCATTTTGCATTCTTAACGTTCTAAATTTCTCTATTTAACCAGAGATATGGTTTTCCTTCCAAACTTAAGGAAGCACGCCATGTCATGCAGATTGCATTGCTGACGACGCAGTCATTAAAGTGCTTTCAACGCTGAAGCAAAGGGAAGACAATTGCTCAAGACACTCTTAACAGGGCAGTGGATTATGGATCAGAGGCCCAGCATTTATCACCACAACCGCATGGAAGTGAATGGGAGATTGAAGAGCAACTCTGTGCGCCTAACTTGGTACAAATGAAAGGAATTACTGTGCTATCGACTGACATCTTAAAACTGACTCATGTCGCAGTCATGTCTGGTCTGTTGCCCCCGGGGGCTCGAAGACGTAAATGTGGGAGCCGGATGGCCTATTCCGACCCGGATGTCGCGGTTGTCGTTCACACCGAATTTCATCAGGCCATTGCCACCATCCTATAGAGCTCAAGCTTAACTCAAACCTATCTGTGGCTCGGTTTTAAGCGTTCACCGATTTACTCACCATCGCACACGAGACAGTTACTAACCAGGTGAGAAGGTGCAATATTTTGGCATCCTTTCACGAGTTTAGAAGAAGAAAATCTGCGAAAGATTTTAAAGCCTCATCACGTACTATATCAGGACAAATCGTTGTCCCAAAAAGGCACACAGGTTGGTTTCATGAACCAAAAACTTCTTAACAGGACGGTAGCACGGGATTTACTTCATCTAATCATTTGCTTTTCCTGCTAGTTAATTCGTTCTGACTTGAAGACAGCAACTGTTGTGATGATGAGCTCTTTCCCCTGCATACGGTTAACACTGAGGGATTAAATTGAAAGGCACGGAATGCGAATGGGCACTGTTCTCAAATACCGAAACTAGAAGTGAAGATTTCACACTCTCTTGATTGACAAACCGATTTGTCTATCAAATGGACCCACCAACAACAGACATGCACATACAACCAAGTGAAAGGGTGTACGCGGTGCTGTCTGGCTGTTTGTTGAGGCTATGGGCCATGTTGTTTCAATTCCGCCTTCATTCCAGCCTGAGGCAACCCAAAGTAACTGGTCTGGAGAAGTCCTGTCGTATGCGTTTAGGTCCCATGGGAGCAAATTCCACTTTCCTTGATGTGCTACTAATGATTTGTCTCTTTACCTTCATTGCATTGGTTCTTGTCTAGTCTTATCGATGTACGAGAGTATGCCACATCGCTTCCTTAAGTCCTTTCCATCAACTTGCAGTGAGTTGGCGAAGGGAAGGGATTACAAAGACCATCCGACTTGGACTCCATTCCATTCCACATCAGTTTTCCCTTTTACTGTCATCTCCTTGTCTTCTGAAGATCGTATTCTATTAGATGGAGGAACTATTAGTGGTCCTGCAGCGTGGGTTTAAGAAAGGGTGAAGCTCTACGACTGACCTAACTATCACACTGTCAAACAGGAAGTTATATTAACACTTCGGAAGCAGGGAAAAGGAAAAGGACGTAGCTCATGAAGCCTCAGAGTGCCACTGTTGAGCGTAACCGTCATATCGTTGTTACTCAACAAATCCGGGGACGAATTTACCGTCTCCGCCTTCCGGCTTCTCGAGCACAAAACATGAGCAAATTACATTTCCGGAAGGTAAGGCTAACTAGTTCCGTATTGTCGTTTGCAGATGGCTAGCAGTGACACCAAAGTTGTCAGTCTAGTCAAACGTCTGTTTATCTTGTTCGATGGTAAGTTGTGCTCAATTGGTACGGTATTGTCAAACTCGCTGATTGCGAATGCATTTATCTTCAAAGCGTGATAGAAAAGCTCCTCACCATAAAGGAAGTAGTGGAGGTTTCCCGTCTGACAGCACAGCATGACTTGTTTCTGATAACCGAGCGAACTGATTATGTTGCGACATCCCCTAGCTGCGATATGATAAATGAAACAGTGTCATAGGGGCTACTACCACGCCTTGGTGATAGCTGACCCAGAAAGTGGGTTCGTTGTGTGTCCACTAGCATCAATTTGGAGCCACTCATTCCAGAACGATATTGAGTCTTAAAACCACAAAATTGAGCATGTTTGTTATACCATTTGACGATGGCACAAGCATAATAGTACTGTTAGATCAGGATACACCCAAATGTTCCTACTTTAAATTGATGATTTTCGAATCTATGCAATTTAGTGCAACTGGCAACTCTCTAAACTGCTCGTTTGAGTTGTCACTCTCGTGCCGCGATTATTCCAAGTCATGCCAGTGTTGACACGTGGTGCTAGCACAACTGCTTGATCCAAGAGGGGTTGTTGCAATGTTGGCGCTTGCAACGTGAATACAGACTACCTCGATCGTAGGAATAAACGAGGTGCATAACGTGCACAGAAACTACTATTCAGTATTACATTAGCCTTCACCTGCGTAACACCGAGGTGTTGAACCCGCAGTCCAGTGTAAATCAAGAGACCACTGTGTTACAATTCGCAGGTAAACATCACAGCCGAAGTAGATGGTCTTGAAACTTCGAGAATGAACGTAGGCTTCCTTCACCGTTTCCTCACTCATTGTTTTACTGTCTTCCATAAGGAAGAATCATCAAGAAGATGTGGGATGGATTTTAAAATTCGGTCTTGATTCTGTAGTGTTGAAGGCTGCAAAGGACAGACTTCCTGTGTGGAATGGTGAAGGCGGATTAGACACCTTCTCCTGAGCTCATCTGCTATGCAGACGGAGATGGACAGCCAGGCACTCATGAGATGTTGCGTTGCGCAAACCACGAGCGAAGCCGCGCAATGGCAATTTAAATGTTTGTGATGACTCCGGCACACCTGTCTGTAATAAAAAGTTGCACATAAGTCCGTCTTTACAAATGCAAAATGTAGCCACCGTTGAAGCCGTCCAGCTTCAAAAATTTTCTACTAAACATTGTTGGTCTTGTGCTTAGTTCTTTCCTCTCTTACTCCGATTTGACGGTGTAAATTCCTATTCCCCTTGCTAATACGTTTATCAAATTCACTTCACATTTTCAACTTAGCGGGTGAATAGCACTTACTACTACAAATGTTTTTCTTAAGCAACAAGCTTTCCATAGCTTTGAGATAAGGCAAATCTAACCCTTAAAAAATGCACCAGTCGCTGCTTTCCAATTCTCGTTACCAAAGGAATAGTAGAACAGGTAATTTGGATTTCTCACAAGTGAAAAACAAAGTACAACAGGATTGACATCTCCATTTTCATGATATACATTCAGTTTTGTTCCACACAATTAAGCACACAAACTGATAAGATATTCCTTGAATTTGTTTTCATAACAGCACCTGCAAATACCTTGGTGGAATAAGCAGCAGCTCAAAATTAACGTGGCAGTCAGTCTTGTCTGACGTCTCCCTCTAATTGCGTTTAGTGTGGGCACAGCAACCAACACGTGAGGAGCTGCCATTGCAGTGGCCACTTTCTCCTCTTCCCCCCCCAAATGCAGTCCCCACCGCCTTCAACTGACTCCTCAGTCAGGGCAGGTTTGCATGGACACTTGTCTATTGCAGAGTAGTGGAACCAGTGGAATAAAGTTCTCGTACTGCATCAGACTAATGACAAGCCACGGCTCGAGAAGAAAGTAGACAGTTCTATAGGCATTGTCTCAAGCCAAAAGCGATAAAGAAACGTTGGCGAGACATTGCATTGGTTGGAAAATGGTTTTTTGGAGGAAGGAAGACAGGTTCACTTGTTTAACGAAGATATTTGCCGTTTTCAGGGTGTTTGTATCCAACATATAACGCTGAACTAGGAACTCATCAACTCTGTAGATCTAAGAACTTCCAATTGCATTCGCGTCAGATCAAGCAGAAGGCCAATGACATCTGACTCTGTCTAAATTGTTAAGAATGTAGGTCATTGAAGTGACTTGCAGCATGATAAACTGTGATGCAACGGAGCCAAAGTTTCGAATAGATGATGAAAAAAAATTGCAGAATGAAGGCTGTAAAGGACGGAGGAGTTAACTGTGTGACTTGATCGTATGGGGTACTTGGAGGCCTTTGAGTTTTGTCTTGTGGATAGAGACTATTTTCCAATTTACCAGTGGTCTGCCGAATTACGGAGGTAGAGGATCGTCTCATCTGCCTGCAGTTTAAGTGTTCGCTTCGCCACCTCTCATTCTTCGTCACGAAGTCGTCTAACATGACTCACCTGCACCATATGCAGGTGATCACCATCTCCAATATCCGTTTCACTGTTTGGCCCCAAGAAAATCTGACCTCACTCTTCTCCTCTTCCTCCTTCAGTTTCCCCACCTCAAACATTTGATGGGACAACGATTTATTGTTCTGTCCATCATGAAGCCTGCATTCGCTACCCAATGGCAGCCGCTTTGTTCCTAGCTCAGCCTCGACACTTCTTTCTTTACGGGTGTAGAATAACACCACATTATAAATCACTGGCAGTTTCCCTTTGACACATGAGCCTCAAGTGTCCAAACGTTCTCAAATTACTATGGAAAATGTCGGCGTGAACGTGGACGGGAGTCGCGTGCAAACTTGGCAGGAAGACAGACAAACTCTCTCAATTGTAACCATTACAAGTCTTCATTTGAATGAACTATTGCATGAACACAAGATGAGGGTGGCAAACCTTCTCAAGTAGACAGGAGAGAGAGGATTGCCACCACTTCTCCGAATTGACATTTGTATTTTTGGGCTAAAACCTTTTACGTGATCCTCCAAACGGTAACTGATTAAATCGCTCTCATCGTAGGCTGGGCCATTGCAAATTTTATTCTTCCTTTTATCTCCTAAGACTTTGTGGATTCAAGACTCAATTTGTTTTTAACTTTCGTCTTGGGGGAATAAAACAACCACATTCCATTCTTGGCACAGCCGCTTTTCGCTAATAGTCCGTCCGCTAATTCTAACCATTCTGTTGTCAGCTATGGCTTTTACACCTCTTTCTACCAATTGTGCCACCAGCACAAATACGTCATCGCAACTGGCTACTCAGTCCCAATGAAATCTGCTAGTCACCTTCAAATGCATTCATCTATTCCATTACTGCATACAACAATTTCCCCACGTCAGCGAGAGGCATGTCTGTGTATGCTCTGGCGGATAAAGGTGACCGAATGTGCCTCAAATGGCAGTGGTAGCCACTGTTTGAAGTTAATTTGGATGGTCTTAGGCAACGGGAGCATCAATTTTTGGTCTAAAGCTTAAACTATAAGCCCGTGAGCGTTCAATCGCCCTATCTACGAAACTGATGCAGAAGGAAGCGAATGAGCGAGTCTGTTTAAGATGATCGCCACATTGGAAACGCTTCAAATGCATTCATACAGTGCATTTCTAGTACTGAGTCGTCCACATGTTTTATGGCCGAACGACCACTTAAGTATTCTAGTATTGTCTGATTAACACCTCCACATAGATTGTGTCTTCACAAAAAATTGCTATTGCTTAGGGTGAATGACAGCATCCGATGCTGGTGCTGAGCATATT